TCATGTAGTTTTCATTTCCAAGAAGCAATTTTACTGCAGAAAAATTTCCATATTTGCTGGCAAGTAACAGTTAAATTACCATCATTTATATTCACGCCAAATCCTCGGTTGAGAATAATAGAATGCTTGCCATGTTTACTATCAGCTAGCATACATTATTCGTAAAAAATTTAGTTCCACATCACTTAGATGTTTAAGCTTTAGTTCTAAGAACTCAAATTAACCTTCACTATGAGCAAAATAAAAAAAGGAAACGTGGAACTTATTTCTTAATTATATGATGACACAGTTGTGTTCTATGTAATTTATCAGCTATGTCCTGTACTCAATAGAATCCATATGACTATTATAACCAATTTTATTTGCTAATTGAAAATTAAGCTGAATAAAATAATTTAAGACAACAGAGAAGATAATTCTGTTTTAATTGTTTATTACTAAGACTTAAATAAAGAGTGAGCTATTTATACTGTAAATTTATGATGTCTCTAGTCTGGGGGGGGGGGGGGGGGGGTCCACTCTTTCAGCTTAAGATCGGATTTGTGGCAGATTTTTCTCCCCACCTTTGCTATTCTTTGTCATTTATTCAATTGATATGATATTAGTTGATGTAATTTCGTATTAATTATGTATTATTATTTCATATTAAATATGAACTTTTATGTCAAATGTTTTATTTGCAAAATGTATTTTTTGCTTTTTATGATTTTGAATAAATGACCTTTTTTCGTCAGTTTAGTTTTTATATCATATAGCAAATCAAGCTCCGACTCTGGCCTGTGTATACATGGTATGTTTATGGTATCTAGCTGTCTGTCTTAAATAGAACATGTTAATAATTTTCCCATGAAATAATTCTTCTATTACTCTGTCTAGGTATAATTCCTCTGTTTTCTTTCACTATATAAACAGTAAAACCATCTAGAACGAGATCCGATGATTTCAACTGGATCCTTCCTCAAAGTAGGTCTCAGTAACAGTGTTTTATAAATATAATCTGCATTTTGTTCACCAAAATATCAACAAAGAAAGTCAAATAGCTTGTCTCGAATAACGCAGTAGTCCTTTTTAACTTCTGTAAGCTATGAACTCCTGAGTGCTAGTAATTCTGACACAAACACATTTTTGCGAGGTGTACTTCTCTCAAGGGTGCATTCATCAAGTTCTTCATTACGTCTTTTTTATATCTTTATTTTCCTCACGACTCGTGAAGATGTCCGTTCTTGAGGATTGGTAGCAACAATCCACAGTTTTCATAATATCCTTTTCAAACAGCATAGGATATAATTCAAGCGAATAATAATACTCAAAACAGTTGCTAAAAAGCTATATAGCTTTTAAGTGTTTTGACTGACATCAACTATATAGTATCGGTAAATTTTGGTCAATAAGCTATCTCTCAATCAAAGCAACACAGTTCTTTGACACACATTTTCGAACAATTGTCAGTCCTTGCCTTTTCGGAAATCGAAATCGCACATTGCTTGAATATTTCCAAATGTTTGAATTTGATAACACTGAAAATTTGAAGGCAAGATGCAAGAATTTTAATCCCACCCCATTTTTGCAAAGACGCAAAATTAGCTTTTTTTTACTTTCCCATTTATCTACGTTTGACTGAACTAAGGTGTACTTCCCACTGATATCGTCCTCTTACAGTGTAAAGCCGGCCAACTTCTTTGGGTAAGTATCGATTCTGGGTACTGACGTTGTTTATCATCTTAATAACATGTTATAGTATTCTTTTATTTGTCTTTATGAATATTATTCTTACTGTTTAGTCTGTGTTTTGGTTATATTCATTTGACGTGGCTCTGTACTTATACATCCCGTCATTGTGTTATTGTGCTATGGTAATATTTTTGTATTCTTGTCTTTCATTTTTGCTAATGTGCTTTGCTATGGTAAATTTTTGTATTCTTGTCTTTCATTTTGCTAATGCGCTTTGTCTATATGCCTTTTTGTGTTTCTTTGTTACATATCTGTTTGTTTTTATAGTGATTTAGACTATAACACAATGTTGACTGTTGTACCCAAATTTTTGACATTTTTACCTTTTATGTCAATATAATGGAAGTTAATGCGACTGTCATACAAGTGAGAGGTTTAGCTAGCAATAAAACCAGGTTTAATCCACCATTTTCTACAAAAGAAAATGCCTGTACCAAGTCAGGAATATGACAGTTGTTATCCATTCGTTTGATGTGTTTGAGCTTTTGATTTTGTCATTTGATTACGGACTTTCCGTTTTGAATTTTCATCGGAGTTCGGTATTTTTGTTATTTTGCTTTTTCCTATGTTTACATTTCAGACGGTTTACTTCAAGGAACAATGGTGTAGCGGCTAATTTTCCAGTACCAGATATTCCAATAACCGTTATGCTATTGTTTGTTTTCTTAATTGTAGATTGATTGATTTATCGGTGTTTAACGTTACTTTCAGTACTATTGTGCTATTTTGTGGCGGTCAGTTTTTATTGGTGGAGGAAGCCGGAATGCCCGGAAAGAACCACCGACCTTTGGTAGGAAAACTGACTATCCTAAATTAAGATTGGAGTCGAGCGCACCTGCCACGTGCGGTATTCGATCTGACAAACTCAATGTTGACAGGCTAGTGATACAGTAGTTCGACTACTAAGATCATTCGGCCACCGAGGCCCTCTTTAATTGTAGAAACTGTGTATGTCGTCACAAAAACTTTTTTCGTGATCCTCCAAAATGACACTTCTGTTTTATGAACATTTGTTATGAGCAGAAAACATTAGAGTATACAGATTAGTTCATAAATCTTACACAAATTCGCTTTCTGAAGATTAACTTTTTTTTATATTTCTTCAGTATTTTCTCTCTCTCTAAAAATGACAAAACCTTGATGTTGTTTCAACGTCACCTTCACCGGACGCAATATCACGTCGACCAGTCTTTGTTCTTACTCTTAAATGCTAAGCGGATAAGAGATCATACCAATAATTAACATTAGCTGTTACTGCTCATCTCTATATTATGTCCTTTTCTCAAATATCATCTCGTTTTTTTATATCCTCGTCTACTTATACATCTTTTCTGGCGACGGCATATCTAGCGAAGCACACAGAACACAGAAAACTTGCAATATTTGACTTGCTACAATCAACACGGTTACCTTTACAAGAACATTTTTCTATTTCTTCCTTCCCGATTTTTCTTGTATATATATTTTTCTTGCATATATATTGCCATTTTTCAAATACTACACATAATATAAAGCTTTTTCGTTCGTTCCATGTACTTACTAGCGGAAACAAATGCCTAGTACTAGTATAACAGCTCATCTTGTAGGTCATATTTAAGCAGAGGCAATTTTAGCCATGCTGCAAAAAATTATGCTTATAATAGGATGAATGTCCTACGGAAGTACGTGCGTCCAGACGTCAACATCTCGGTTACTGGGAGAAATCATTCGAGACATTAATAATATCTTTACAAAACTTAGATTGGTAACGTCTCATGTGTTTAGAAGAATCCAATTGAACTTGTCTTCATAATGCCCCATTTGACAAGAAAAAATCCTATGTATATTAGGATCAATATGTCAAAGGGTAAGGTCACAGTAGAAATTCTTATCCCTTGATCATGTCCATCTTTTACCAAACTCGGTGTGATAGTGCTCATTGTGATTAATACCATATTAAATGCTGGTCAAAAGATCAAGCAAGGTCTTACCAGCTATTGGTAGGATGTAAAATTTTTACCCTGTGAGTGAAACAAATACAGGAGAAATTGTTCTGCCTCCCTTACATTCAGGTTTGTGCTGTGGTGTGTATTGATGTGCGTATAACTCATCTCAGTCCTAGTTTCTGTGGATATTTTGGATCTGACGTTTCCTTGAATATGACAGATGTTTCCTTTCGTACCGTTGGTTGATATAGTCTAAAATTTGATTTTGGCAGGGTTTTATGGACGTCCCCCTTTTTGAATTTACCTTGGAGTTCGGTATTTTTGTTAAAAAAAATCTTATTAGCACATATCAAAACTGTTTTTTATGTTCATATTTTCATTTCAGTTTTCAATGTCATCCATTTTACACTTCTACGTTTCCTGCTGATTTCTAGTCTCCAAGTTTATATGGGAAGAGAAGGGCGTTATTAGGATGGAGGTCCCTCATTTACGATATATTGAAGTCTTTGTAATTGCTGTCCCTATTATTAACATTCATGAGGTTCACAATATTATTTTAAAAACAATCTTCTTAAAGTAGCTTCATATACATGTAGATGCCTCACATAACCATTACACCATACAGCGTCATATTTAGGGTTAACTTCAATTCAACTAGGATTTATTTCTGTCTAACTTTGGTGACCTAGCTAAATTTGTTTTGAAATGTCACATCTGATTAATGTTCACTTAATATTTTTGGTGTGCTCTGTGTTTTCTTTGTTTTAGGGTTTAAACTGCTGGAACCCTAGTAGACTGTCGTACAAGAGGAAGATAATGCACTTTAATACAACATATCCCTGCTTTAACACACTACTTTCCAATGGGAGTTCCTCTACCATGTTTGGATATTTTTAATTTTTCTTCCATTAGCTGATTACCTTTTTCATTGATTTTGAACTTACAAAAGAAATTTCGTGTTTGTCTGTTTACCCTAGCATATTTCATCTTTGTGAAATTTTAACAAACTGTTCTACTCCATTAAGAATATCTTGTGTTCAATTCTTTAATCTTCAGATCTGTCATCCCAAAGTTTTTGGACTTAAATAATTAAAATTTCTAGCATATCTAAAGTTTGCCTTTAGAGGTGTTTGCCAAACTTTTTTTTCAATAAAGACAAACTCCTTTCGTCATTTCTTTTTTTTTTTAAACTTATGTTGCACCATAACTGTTAGTCATAATTATCAAAACTTGAATAATTAAAGCACATCTTCATATTTGGGAACACAAGATCCCAGATATAAACCAACTTACAGTAATATCCATCAGCATAGTACTTAAGACATTATAACCAGAATATCTTTTATCATGAAGTGTTCTTTATTTTTGTAAACAATTAATGAATTGTGCATGGCACACAATTTTACAAACATTACATTATCACATAGGAGGGATTTCTGTTAAGGTTTACAATATATTCACAAAACATTTCTTACATAAACCTGTCCTATTGCAACTTGTGTTAGCAAGTTCCTTTTATAGAATATTATGTACTATAAAAATAAGACATTGATTGCATTTATAAAAGAAGTTATACTTTAAACTAATAAAAACATGTACTAGAATACTTATTACACATTTTTATATATTAATTCATTATACATTCTTATATATTAATTCTTAGGTTTTGTATTGGTTGATGTTACAAACATTTGACTGCCAATATATTTACCCTGGATTCATCTGATACTTTAAAGCATAGCTGTACACCTCAGATAATTCTGAACAATGGAAATATATATTTTACCCAAATTTTCTTATGTCGAAAGGTCAACATGGATTAACGACTTTCAAGTAATTTTTATATTACCTATCATATTCAAATTGATACTGAAATTATTCAAATATAAGATTTTTTATATTGCCTGGATGTCTGGAGAGACAAACTGATAATCCATAGCCTCAGTGTTAATAAATAACTATAGTTGCAAATCTGCATTACAAAATCTAATGAATAGTGGGGAAATATTTTGTTTCTATACCAAAGAGAAAACAAATGTTGCACAATTTATTGATGTAAGCTCTGTAATACCCAGAATGCATCAGATTCTGAAATGGTTATTTGGGTAACCATGCAATAATTTCAATTATTCAAAAAACTTTCCCAAGGAATAGATTACTTAAGCTGTATTTGGAAAAACCTTTCAGAATTTTTCGGTCCACAATGCTCTCCACTTTTTACCTTTTTTAATTCAAGCATCACTGATGAGTCTTTTGTAGACGAAACAAGCGTCTTGCGTACAAAATTATAAGCCTGGTATCTTTGATGATTTTTTTTCTTCTGAATAGCTCTCTCTTGGGTATCATACTTTAACTGCAGAGAGATAAAGCTATGACTAATTTTCAGTGGAAAGGGAGATAACCACTTTTCTGTTGAAAACGTTTTATGAATTTTGTGTTAAAAGTACGAAATGTTACATTACATTGACTGAATTTTTTACTTAAGCTGAAATAAGCTGTTTATATGTTTCCATTCCAATAGCTCAAATCAAATATAACATATATTTTTATATGAACAAGGCGAGCATCTAATTCCTCAATTTTTGGTCTAATAATATTGCTATGCTAAAATTTGTTTGGCAATTAACAAAAGGATTGAAATATAAGCAAGACAGAAGTCTTTGGTCCCTTTAAATACAATTTGATGAATACAAAAAAATTTCCATAATATGGTCAAAACATATGCCTCTTTTTTAAAGACTCTCTATGTGAACACACATTTTAAAAACATATTTAAGGAATATATCATATTATTATTAAAGACTTACTACACATTCAAATGAATATGATAAGTCTGAGTCAAAACTGCTATAACTAAAATGTGTACATGACATTGAGATCTACAAAACTTTCAAATATGTAAAGCCATAAAAAGCATACACAATGTATGAAGGTGTACAATATACAAATGACAATGATGATAATAATGTGTGGTTTTCATACATGACATTGACATAACTTGATCTACATACTTAATATTGGAAATCATTATAAATAAAAATGGTTTTCCAATCCTTCCTTTATAATTTCCAACATAATTGTCTCATATTAAACTTTTTCAAATAAATAAATGACATTTGTTGTGTCTTATACATTCACATACTGGTAATGAATGTCTTTGTAAGAATCCATCTGACGGCTATAGTTACTAAGAAATGTCAGATTGGAAAAACAAAATATGCTAATTTGTCAAGATCAATTATTATGAGATAATCAGAAATTTTAAATCTGATGAAGGACTTTTGGGCATAATCCCAATGTATAAACTGGTTATTAATATACAAAAAAGTGAATGACACTTAACAAAGGTAAAAGATAACTTATTTTTATGCTACTTGGACAAAAAAGTGAATGACACTTAAGACAGGTAAAAGATAACTTATTTTTATGCTACTTGGCTATCATGAGAAGTTTTTTATGCATATGCATCAACATAAATACTGAGAAAATTAAATTCTTTACATGGTTTTGTCAAAGCTTTTCAGAGATACTAGTAACTGGCAAATTATATCTATGCTTTTACAATTTTTTAATATCTTTTATCAAATGTATAATCCTTAATTAGAAAAAAATATAATTATTTTTTTAAATTTCATGTATATCTTCAACATTTTCTATAATTACTAGTGAAAGGAATATTTAAAGTATTTAAAAAGAAATACATATTGATTTGAAAAATATATCTTTAAACACTTTGTTTAACAATTTGATACCCTAAAATTTCAGAACTCACAAACAAAATACTTTTGTCAATGTAATGTGGAATACCAATTGAAAAGCACCATGTAATTCTACTGATTCCAGTTCTGTGTAACATTTCCTGAATTCCATCTATTTATTGGCCCTTTTCTTTCAAGTCTTTACTAGAGGTGTTCCTTTTCAAAGAAGAGGTCTTGAATGTAACTGCCCAGTAGAAAAAGTAGGACACAGCAGTTAGCAGGCTGCTAATCAGTAACGACACCAGCCGACCCCTGGTTAACGCAGACTCATAAATCAGATTTATTGCTATTGCTGAAAAATTAAAACAAGTACATTATTATATTAATATAAGAAATAAAGTGAAGTCTTTTATAAATCTTATAACTACAAGCCAATGGCCATTTCGTCTTATGACTACAATCCAAGGCTAGTCAGCTTATATTTTTACTTTAGATCAAAGGCCCTCTGATCTTATGCAGATCCCTTAAATCTTTTTATTATAGAACAATAATCATCCAATCTATTCACTACAGCACAATGGCTATCCAATCTAAGCTGTTTTTGGCAAAATCTTTTGGAAAATTCGTACTTTATTTGGCTTTTTGAACTGTTTTGATAATACAGAACAATGAACTACAATCTATTTACTACAGACTAATGACCACCCAATCTATTTACCAAAGAACAATGACTATCCAATCTTTTTACTACAGACCAATGACCATCCAATCTATTTAATACAAAACAATGATCATCAAATCTATTTAATAGAGAACAATGGCCATCCTATCTTATTACTACAGAACAATGGCCATCACATCTATTTACTACAGAACAATGGCCATTCCATATATTTACTACAGAACAATGACCATCCAATATATTTACTACAGAACAATGACTATCCAATCTTATAACTAGTAAACAATGACCATCCAATCTTATTACTACAGAAAAATGACCATACAATTTTATTTCTACAGAACAATAGCAATCCAATCTTATTACTACAGAAAAATGACCATACAATTTTATTACTACAGAACAATAGCAATCCAATCTTATTACTACAGAACAATAGCAATCCAATCTTATTACTACAGAACAATAGCAATCCAATCTTATTACTACAGAACAATGACCATCCAATCTTATTACTAGAGCACAAAGGCAAATCAATCTTATTACTACAAAACAAAGACCATCCAATCTTTTTACTGCAGAATAATGACTATTTGATCTTTTTCCTGCAGAACAATAGCCATGCTATATTATTACTAGAGAACAATACAATCCAATCTTATTAGTAAAGAACTATGGCCATCAAATCTACTTATTGGAGAACAATGGCCATCCAATCTTATGAATAATAAACATCCAATCTTATTACTGCAGAAAAATGACCATCCAATCTTATTACTGAAGAACAATGGCCCTCCAATCTATTAACTACAGCACAATGGCCATCCAATCTATTTACTACAGAACAGTGACCAGCCAATCTTATTTCTACAGAACAATGTGACCATCCAATATTATTTCTACAGAACAATGGACATCTACTCTTATCACTACAGGAAACTAGGGGTTCTCAAGAGCCTGTGTCGCTCACCTGATTCTACTTTGGTTTTGGAAATCTTGTAAAAATAGATTAAAATCATAACAGATACCCTAATAATAAGTGAGGCCAAATTTGGTTTAATATGTGTCCTGTTATTTAATAAAAAAATCCTGGTGGCCATCTTGAACAGTAAATCGGCAACAAAGTAGCAACACTTCATCAGCACCTCATAAGAAACATTTATGACATGTTTGGTTTCATTCCATTCAGTGCACCTCTAAAAGAAGCATTTGTATTTATTTCCCATAGGGTCTTATGTTAAAGGAAGTCCCCCCGCTGGCAGCCATCGTGGATGAAGGTTCAGCTGCGAAGTAACAACACTTAGTCAGCACCTCATAAGGAACATTCATGCCATGTTTGGTTTCAATATATTCAGTACGTGGTTCACTAAAAGAAGACATTTGTATGTATTGTCCATAGGGTCCTTTGTTAAACATTGTCCCCAGCTGGCGGCCATCTTGGCTGATGGATCGGCTTCAAAATAACAAAACTTGGTCAGCACTTCATAAGGAACATTCATGCCATGTTAAGTTTCATTCCATTTAGTGGTTCTCTAAAAGAAGACATTTGTATGTATTTCCCTTAGGGTCCTATGTTAAACTAAGTCCCCCGCTGGTGGCCATCTTGGATTATGGATCGGCTTCAAAGTAACAACACTTGGTCAGTACCTCAAAAGGAACATGCATGCCATGTTTGGTTTTATTCCATTCAGTTGTTCTCTAAAAGAAGACATTTGTATGTATTTCCCATAGGGTTCTATGTTAAACTAAGTCCTCCATTGGTGGCCATCTAGGATTATGGATTGGCTTCAAAGTAACAACACTTGGTCAGCACCTCATAAGGAACATTCATGCCATGTTTGGTTTCATTCCATTCAGTTGTTCTCTAAAAGAAGACATTTGTATGTATTTCCCATAGGGTTCTATGTTAAACTAAGTCCTCCATTGGTGGCCATCTAGGATTATGGATTGGCTTCAAAGTAACAACACTTGGTCAGCACCTCATAAGGAACATTCATGCCATGTTTGGTTTCATTCCATTCAGTTGTTCTCTAAAAGAAGACATTTGTATGTATTTCCCACAGGGTCCTATGTTTAAACTAAGTCCCCCGCTGGCGGCCATCTCGGATAATGGATCCGCTACAAAATAACAACACTTGGTCAGCACCTCATAAGGAACATTCATACCATGTTTGGTTTCATGCCATTCAGTGGTTCTCTAAAAGAAGACATTTGTATGTATTTCCCATAGGGTCCTATGTTAAACTAAGTCCTCCACTGGCGGCCATCTTGGATTATGGATCGGCTTCAAAGTAACAACACTTGGTCAGCACCTCATAAGGAACATTCATGCCATGTTTGGTTTCATTCCATTTAGTGGTTCTCTCAAAGAAGACATTTGTATGTATTTCCCTTAGGGTCCTATGTTAAACTAAGTCCCCCGCTGGCAGCCATCTTGGATGAGGATCGGCTACAAAGTAACAACACTTGGTCAGCACCTCATAAGGAACATTCATGCCATGTTTGGTTTCATTCCATACAGTGGTTCTCTAAAAGAAGACATTTGTATGTATTTCCCATAGGGTCCTATGTTAAACTAAGTCCCCCGCTGGCGGCCATCTTGGTTGATGGATCGGCTACAAAGTAACAACACTTGGTCAACACCTCATAAGGAACATTCATGGCATGTTTGGTTTCATTCCATTCAGTGGTTCTCTAGAAGAAGTTCAAAATGTAAAAAGTTAACGACGACGACGACGACTTACGACGGACGCCAAGTGATGAGAAAAGCTCACTTGGAAGGGCCAGGTGAACTAAAACCAACTAAATCTTATTACTGCAGAACAATAGCCATCCAACTTTATTAATGGCCAACAATGGCCATCAATCTTTTTACTACAATCCAATCTTATTACTAAAGAACTATGGCCGTCAAATCTTATTACTACAGAACAATAGACATCCAAGTTTATTACTACAGGAAAATGACCATCCAATCTTATTACTGAAGAACAATGGCCCTCCACTCTATTTACTACAGCACAATGGCCATCCAATCTATTTACTACAGAACAGTGGTCATCCAATCTATTTACTACAGAACAGTGGCCATCCAATCTTATTACTACAGAACAATGGCCATCCAATCTTATTACTACAGAACAATGGCCATCCAATCTTATTACTATAGAATAGTGGCCATACAATCTTATTACTACAGAACAATGGCCATCCAATCTAATTACTACAGAACAGTGGCCATTCAATCTTATTACTACAGAACAGTGGCCATCCAATCTTATTACTATAGAACAGTGGCCATACAATCTTATTACTACAGAACAATGGCCATCCAATCTTATTTCTATAGAACAGTGGCCATCCAATCTTATTACTACAGAACAGTGGCCATCCAATCTTATTACTACAGAACAATGGCCATCCAATCTTATTACTACAGAACAATGGCCATCCAATCTTATTACTACAGAACAGTGCATCGAATCTTATTACTATAGAACAATGGCCATCCAATCTTATTACTACAGAACAATGGCCATCCAATCTTATTACTACAGAACAGTGGCCATCCAATCTTATTACTACAGAACAATGGCCATCCAATCTTATTACTACAGAACAGTGGCCATCCAATCTTATTACTACAGAACAGTGGCCATCCAATCTTATTACTACAGAACAATGACCATCCAATTTATTACTACAGAACAGTGGCCATCCAATCTTATTACTACAGAACAGTGGCCATCCAATCTTATTTCTACAGAACAATGGCCATCGAATCTTATTACTACGGAACAGTGGCCATCCAATCTTATTACTACAGAACAATAGCCATCGAATCTTATTACTATAGAACACTGGCCATCGAATCTTATTACTACAGAACAATGGCCATCCAATCTTATTACTATAGAACACTGGCCATCCAATCTTATTACTACGGAACAGTGGCCATCCAATCTTATTACTACAGAACAATAGCCATCGAATCTTATTACTATAGAACACTGGCCATCGAATCTTATTACTACAGAACAATGGCCATCGAATCTTATTACTATAGAACACTGGCCATCCAATCTTATTACTACAGAACAGTGGCCATCCAATCTTATTACTATAGAACACTGGCCATCCAATTTTATTACTACAGAACAGTGGCCATCCAATCTTATTACTACAGAACAATGGCCATCGAATCTTATTACTATAGAACACTGGCCATCCAATCTTATTACTACAGAACAATGACCATCGAATCTTATTACTATAGAACAATGACCATCTAATCTTATTACTACAGAACAATGACCATCGAATCTTATTACTACAGAACAGTGGCCATCCAATTTTATTACTGCAGATCAGTGGCCATCCAATCTTATTACTATAGAACAATGGCCATCCAATCTTATGACTACAGAACAATGGCCGTCCAATCTTATTACTATAGAACAATGGCCATCCAATCTTATTACCACAGAACAATGGCCATCCAATCTTATTACTACAGAACAATGGCCATACAATCTTATTACTACAGAACAGTGGCCATCCAATCTTATTATTATAGAACAGTGGCCATACAATCTTATTACTACAGAACAATGACCATACAATCTTATTACTACAGAACAATGACCATCCAATCTTATTACTATAGAACA